GGGAGCCCGACCCGTGCCGAGCCGCCGCCGCCGCCGCAGACCTCGTCCTCGGGCTTCCTGTACCGGCGGCTCAAGACGCACGAGAAGCGGGAGATGCAGAAGGAGATCTTGTCGGTGCTGGGGCTCCCGCACAGGCCCCGGCCCCTGCACGGCCTCCAGCCAGCGCACCCCCCAGCCCTCGCGCAGCGGCTGGCGGAGGAGCCCCCTCCGGGGCGGCTGAAGTCTGCGCCCCTCTTCATGCTGGATCTGTATAACGCCCTGGCCACCGGCGACGACGAGGAGGACGGGGCATCGGAGGGGAACGCGCGTCAGCCTGGGCTGCACCGAGGGGCCAGCTCGCCCCAGCTGCGGCCGCCGTCTCCTGGCGCAGGACACCCGTTCCACCGCAAGAGCCTCCTGGCCGCGGGCCCTGGCGGGGGCGACGGCACAACTCCACTGACCAGCGCGCAGGACAGCGCCTTCCTCAACGACGCGGACATGGTCATGAGTTTCGTGAACCTGGGTAAGGTTTTCTGGGCCGGGTTTTTGTTTTTTGGGAGGTGCGGGGGGAGGTTGTCGTGTGTGGCGCGCGGGGCCGGCTGGTGCCCGTGGGGATGCGGGGAGCGCTTGCACCTGCGCCGCGCGGGGCGGCCCGGGCGCTCCCCGCGGGATCGGGCTGGCGGACGGGCAGCCGCAGCTAGGAAAGCGCTGCCCCGGGCCGCCGTGTTTTGCTGGGCGCCTGGAGCACATACTCTGTGCTCCTTTCGCTCCTGCCTAGCTTGGGGCCAGGTTAACCCGGCTAAAGGGGAACACAAAACTCCTCCCCGAGTCTGGGCATCCTGGGAAGAAGGCCATCTTTCTTTTTTTTTGTCCTCATAAAGCCAAGCATGTTCGTTTTTCCCACGGATACTTAACAGGGCGCCCCGTAGCAGCTGAAAACTTTTGGAAAGTTGACGTGAGTGTTTTAAGAGGAATCTAAGGTATTGGGGGAAGGAGGTGCTTTGATTCCAGAAGGTCCCACAAGGCCAGTGCAAAGCAGCCCGGCCAGCAGGGGCTCGCCCCCGTGCCACACGCCACCCAGGACCAGGCGGGTAATCTATCCAGTGACAAGGCTCACATGCCTGGGGCCATTCCTTCCCCCCCCCCCCCCAAGTCTAACTTTTCATCAAGGGTGCCGAGCAGGGGCCGGGCTTGGGCTCTGAGCGCCTCTGAACCTGTTGCCAGGCAACAGAATGGAAATTTAAGAGCGGCTAAATCGGGCTTTGCCACAGACATTCTGTGGCAGCTCGGACAGAGTCACATCGTATTGCCTTTTACCCGCCCCCCCTCCACCCCTTAAGTGTTTTTGTGTGTTTGTTTTTTCTCTTTAAATGGGAAGGATAGCTGGACGCCGGTGACTCACACCTGTATGCTCCTTGGGAGGCTGAGATCTGAGGATCGAAGCCACCTCCCTGAGGAAATCGTGAGACTCACATCTCATGTTAATCGCTTAAAAAAAAAAAAACAAACCGAAGTGGAGCTCTGGCTCAAGTAATTGACCTCTAGCCTTGAACTGAAGAAGCTCAGGGACAGACAGCACCCAGACCCTGAGTTCAAGCCCCGGGACCCGCACAGGGAAAAAAAAATGGAGAGGGTAGGCAATGGAGAAGACTGTTCTCCAAGCCAGCGCCTCAGAATCATAAGCTTACTTGAGTTCAGCAAAGACAGGGATGGAGTTCTCTGCACCTAGACTTGGGGCTGCACCAGCCACGCCCCAAGGGAAGTCCCGTGGCACAGTGGGGTGAGTCTTCAGTCCCTTGTGATAGGTGTTGTCTATCCCCAGGCCCAGGAGTGGGTTAGCAGACACTTGCAGTAGTACCCAGGTCTCCAAGCCTTGCCAGAGCCGCCTGTATTATTAAGAGCATTGCCTGCATGAATGATTCCCCTGTAATGTGTCTAAGTATTTACAATAGTGTTGGTGATCCCCAACTTCCCTGAGCTTTAAGTGGGGGGAAGGAGGTGGGCAGGAATCAGTGGGGGTGTGGGTAAAATCCCCTCCTTCAGGCAAGAAGATTGACATCCAAGTGGTGCAGAAATCCTCCTGGGAAATTCATGAAACAGAATCTCACAGGGAGAGCAGGGTCAGGGTTGCCAATCTAGCTACTTGCACTGCCAGAGGATCTGATTGGAGAATTTTCACAATTTGTGGGAACCAAATCCAAGGTTGAGCTACCTCCAGGAAGCATTCTAAGGAAATTCTCTCTTGTGCCAGTCAATAAAATTTTGTGGTGGTTTAGGGTTAGCAGGGGACCATTGTTATTTCTTATTATAACCTTTCTGATTCTGATTTAATAACTTCCACCCCATATTTTCTCCCTCGACACCTTCTTCCCCCAAATTTCCTGACAGCTTTGGGGAAAAGTCTTAACTGCCTCATGAGGGGCTAGACCTGAGAGGAACAGTGGAAGGAGATTGGTATCCTGACTCCCTCATAGTGAATCTTTTTAGTTCCCCAGGAAAACCATTCCTGGGTTTGGTCTGTAGTCTTCAGCCTAGCTGATTAACTTCACCTTGAACACCTAAGGGATACTTGGGGCTGCTTTCCATAGGTGTCCAGAGACCTCAGAACCCTTGGGAGTGGGACTTATTTTGTTTTCAGTATGCTGCCATGATTCAGAACCTCAGCTATAAAAGATTTTCATATCTGGAGAAAACTGATCTGTCATCCCAGTAAGAGAATAAAGAGCAAGGCTTCCAAGAATAACCATAAAAACAAAATAAAACAAAAAAATCCCAAATGGCCAGGTGGCACTGGATTTCAATTTAATCCAATGTGAGAGAACAGAATCAGGAATCAGATTCCTTACAAGGTCCCCAGATGATCCCTGGGGCCTGAGGAACCACTACTTGGGGTGGTATTTGAAATGTCTAGACCTGGCTTAAGGCAAGTTTATAATGATGACATTTGTTCTATTTAGTGACCTCCAAATTCCCCTCGTTCCTTGCTTTTCTGAACTTTTGTGGTCTACTAGTACACACAGCTTCTGAGTCACACTGAAATGGTTGACAACTAATCTTGTTAAAGCAATGGTTTAGGGTGGTATCTTCTTTATTTTTCTCTTCCTTGCTTTAATTTTCTTTATTTAAATCTTTCTTTAAACAGTCTTTTTTTTTTTTTTTGAACAGTAGTGCTCCTTCCTGCTTAATAGACCTATGCAACAACACTCAGTTTAGGATTTGGGTTTGTTTTTTTAGTGTCTGATCTGGGGCTTGAACTCAGAGCCTAGGTGCTGTCCCTAGGCTTTATTGCTCAAGGCTAGTGCTCTACTACTTGAGCCACAGCTCTACTTTCCTGCTTTTTGGTGGTTAATTGGAGATAAGTCTCCTGGACTCTCCTGTCTGAGCTGGTTTCAAACTGTGATCCTCAGATCTCAGCCTCCTGATAAGCTAGGATTACAGGGGTGAGCCACCAGCATCTAGCTCCAGTTTAGTTTTTCCATAAAGAATTTTTGTTTTAGGTACTAGAGTTGAACTTGGGGCTCCTTAGTTTGCTACTCAGGCACTCTACCACTTGAGCCATGCCTCCACCCCTTCATAACAGTCTTAAATGTTCTAATAGAGGAAGAGAACTATAGCTGCATGGGCTAGAAGTTGCTTCTGGGGAACACAACTCTTTCCCAAGCTCCTCATGTCTCATTACTGGGCTTTCTGATGTAAGTCATACCTACGGTAGGGCCAGCCTTGTCTGTATAGTTAATTAAAGGAGCAAACCTTTCCTAGGTGAGTAGAATCCAAGCAGCAATCTATACCACTTGCCAATCAAGCCATTCTGTTTAATCTTAATCCATTTAGCAGTAGGCTAGGGAGATTTCACAATGAGAGGCTAACGAGATAAAATCTGATTACCGTGCCTTCCCAGTCTAATAAGGACAGTTTCATTTGAAGAAAGTAATTGCTTAGCAATGTGGATTCTCAAACTAAGGGTGTTGGGAGATTTCCCAATTGGTGTCAATGTCATATTAATGCTTGTGTTGTATGACTCATCTATTAACCTACAGAGGGATGAATGTTACACCACTGTGTTTAAAAGTAGTCTATGCACTGGGTTAAAAAAGTTACACATTGGAAGGATGAGGGAAAGTGTGACATAGTTGTAAACATGCCTCTTCTCTGGGACTGGAGGAATAATTTACTCATGAAATACATCTGAAACACCCTGAGCTTTGTCAGCCAGCAGGACTATCAGGAAGTATGAATCAACAGGATGAATCTTTCTCTTTAGTCCAATGCTGGTCATTTGACCAGCTCATTGTGTTTATGTAGATGGTTTTCAGCTCTGGGTGAGCTGCCTGGCATGTGCAATGCTTAGCTATCTGCTGTCCCTGCCCCCTGTAGGCTGGTCTACTGAATGCCCTGGTGAGCTCGTGAACTTGCATTAAAACAGGCAACCGATGCCTTCCCTTTTTCCCCTATTTGTTTTCTACTTCTGAAAAACAAAACAAAACAAAACAAAACTTGGCAGCCCTAGAAGCAATCCTGCCAAGTTGATGACCTTGAAGAAGCACCCTGAAATATCCTTCAGATCTTAGTGGGGAAATGCACCTTCTTAGAGAGACTTCAGTGTTCACTGCATACCTCCCTGCCATTACCATAACAACACCCTGCTTATTTCCTTCCTTGTGCTAATCACAGGGAGTTTTTTCTTTTCTTTTAAAATTTGCTTACTCATTTGTTTGTGTCCCCTTCAGGATGTCAGTCTTTTGGGCTGATGTCACCAGTCCGCCACTGAAGCCTGCACACCTAACCGGATCTAAGCCTGCTTGGTAGGTGCCCCAAAGAGACTGAATTCATGAACCTGTAAACCACAGCCCACCATTTCCATTCCCATTCCCATTCATGTGGAACACTTGACTCTAAAAATGGTAGACCTGATTTGTTTCGAGTAAAAAGTTTGAAGTGAAGACATTTGGAACATAGAGGTTTATTACAATGCTATTTATTGGTATACCTCTCTGAACATGAGTTCTTCCCATGTACATCAGTTTCTGGTATATATTACACATGAGAGTAGGCATGTCTCTCTATTTTTGCACTTTAGACTTATTTATGTGGAGTTAATGAGGTGTTGATATCTAGATGCTGGGATTAAATTTAAAAAAAAACCTCAAATCATGCTCAGAAAAAGGAATGAGTATGTGTCAGTAAAAGTAACAAGAAACTTATTGTACTAAAAATACTGGCAATCTTTTTAACAAAATACTCTTGGGGAACAGCAATTAGAAGAAAAAATGGAATACTCCCTACTTGGCATTTGTAACCAGATACATTGTAGTGTCTTTCCCTCATCAACACAGTATGAGTGGTACTATTTTTCACTGAAGCTGCCTGTCCTTAGGAAGATTTTTGTGTTAGCAGAAAATAAATCCATGCTTGCAAGCTGCTCACAGCGAGAGTAGATGGGGAAATTTGCAAGACTGTGCTTAAAGAAGCTGTAGATGTTCTTCTAAAGAGATTCAAATGTGAAATGCTACGGTATTTCAACAA